TGTCTCTGTCTACCAAGCCAGTCCTCTCTCAGCTCTGATTATGACCAGAAGAAGCTCTGCAAAACTCTAGACTCACAGCTTCCTAGAGGTTGGTGGCAGAATGGAGATGGCAGCACAGGACTGGGCAGCCCCCAGGGCCTTCTGCAAGGAGGCACTCCTCAAATACTTGCAGACCAAATGAGCCAAGAAAATAAAAACTTGCTTCAGAGTTCTAGTATCGCATATTCTCTCACTTGATCCTCATGAGCCGAGTGATGTAGGTTACTGTACTCATGGCATAACTGTGGTTATCTGAGACACTGATTTACCTAGAGTCATGCAACTTGTAAATGGAAAAGTAAGGACTTCAATCTAGGATATGAAATTTCAGTTTCTTGTTTTTTCATTATGCCCACTTGGCTCTTCATTTTATTGATGGTTAAATTAAATTATGGTAACAAAGGGTTCCTTGTCCCCTTCTGACTCTTCCTCAAGGTCACAGAGTCAAGGAAATACCTGCTTAGAGGGAGTCCTTTCTTTTCTGTCAGCCTCTGCCTGTTGATCTCTGATGCCAAACAAAGAGTGACTGGGGCTGTACGTGCCTGGCCTTATGAAGGGATATGGATTTTGTCACTGTTATATCAGCATCAACTTAAGCTTCACATTAGGTTGGGAATTAAAATTCTCAGATTTGGAAATTATGGGTTGGCAAGTACTTGTTAGCAATTACTTTACTTTCAAGCACAACTGGGCCTACAGATGAGGGAAGAACTGAGAGAACTAATAAAGACCTATTTAAAAAGTAAAAGGAAAGGATTACAATGGAATCTGAATGGTAGGTGTTAGACACAGGGATAGACAAGAGCTTCAATGCTACCAGTTCCGATGAGCCCTGGAGAGGACTTGCTATGCAGCACTAAGAAGCCTGAAGGCAGAAATGGTGTCCCCCTGGTAGTATCAGCTCAGAAGCACAGTGGAAATATCTGAGCCATACAGAGTGGGAGCTGCTTGGTGTAAAGCTTGCGAAAAGACAGAAAACAAAGTGGCAGGAAAGAGATCAAAGGCATAAGTATTTCAGAAAGAAAGAATTACACAATGTGATCTGAAATGAGGCCTTAGCAGCAAGAAAAATTTATCAAAACTAAAGTTTATGTTAATAAGAAAGAAAACATTCTCTAGAGGAGAGCGAGATGGGGACACCTACAATGTGAAGGTGTACATAGCCATACTAGAGGCAGGAAAGGTGCATAGGTGACATTCCAGTAGCTCTCCATGTCTGGCTCCATTTTACCAAAAACCAGAAGCTGATATCGCCAGGACAGAGTGACATCTAAGTGAACCTTCAGCCACTACCATCGGAGTAACAGAGGCCTGGGCTAGGAAATTTGCCCCATCCCTGCACCACTGTCCAAAGTTCAGAGTGGACTCTAGGGGGTAGGCCAGGTAGCAGCACATTAACAAATATGCCAAAAACTGGATTGCTTTGTGCATGAAATAACACCTAAAGGCAAGCAGAAGAGGCCACATGAAGAAGAGGCCTTAACTGCTGAGAGTGTGTGGGTGAGCATATGTGCGCATCAGCATGCCTCTGCCCAACCTTTCCTCTGAAGGTAGATCACATCTTTGTAATCCCATCTACAGAGCAGCCTCCTGTACACCAGCCAACGAGCAAAACACAGCTTCTATTCTGCTCAGGAATGTGCTTTTAGAAACTTAATCTAATTGCTGAGTCTGGGCCAAATACCTTAGTGGCATTAACCCAAAGACAGCACCCCTTTCTCTGTCCCCACCTGCCTTCCCACCACCCTGTCGCTGCCTCCTCCACGCTTGGTATTCTGTGGTTCCACTCCATCAACTCCGTCTTCTGCATGATGCAGACCCCTCTCCACTGTGCTCCATTTCCAGCCTGTCTCCTTTCTTCTGGTTAGACCAAACATTTTTGCTTCTGCTTCATGTTGAAAGGACCAGCCAACAGTCCTTAGCTTTCAAAAGGCCAGCTCCTCTGTCACACATGCCCTTTCTCCTCTTACTGTGCCTTCCTGGGCTGCAACCAAACCCTTCCTTTTGTCCTCTGCCAACCACCATCACTGCAAGCACCAGAGACAGCAGCAGCCAGGACTTATTTTTTAAAAATATAGACCAGGGGCTGGAGATTTAGCTCAGCAGCATAAGCGCCTGCCTGGTAAGCATGAGGTCATGAGTTTGATTCCCAGTACCCCCCCAAAAAAAATCGCTTAAAAATAAAGACTATAAACTTGCTTTCCTTACACACACATACACCTTGAAGTAAAAGGAGAGCTCCAAAACAAATTTTTCCCTCTCCAACTATGCTATCCTCAAAAAGGTTCAGCCTGGCTCCTAAGTAGGTCAAATGAATGGTTATAGAACTTTTGAGCTTCCACAGACATGTGCTGACCATTTGCAGATGAAATCTCCCTTCTAGATAATCTTTAAAGGCAGAAATGTTGTTTCAAGGCACATCTTATTTGTAATATTATTTGTAATAATGTACTGCCAAAAGTAAATAATTGCTCAGCAGCAGGAAATAGGATCAGCACATTATAGGAAGGCCGCCATAAGGATGTTCCAGGGCCGTTAGTAATTATGCTCATGTTCTTCTAGGGGTGGGAGAGCACGTTAACTCAGAAGGGGCACCCTGGGATGTGCCTGCTGGGCACATATGAAACGTGATGGTTTCTTCACTTAGGATTATACAGGTCTTGTACTTTATTGCCTTCATTTTCAGTTTCTTTTTTTCTTTCTTTTCTTTTCTTTCTCTCTCTTTTTTTTTTTTTGGTGGTACTGGCAATTGAACTCAGGGCCTTGTACACTTTACCACTGAGCTACATCTCCAACCCTCCTGTCTTCAGTGTAAAAGGAATAAATTATTAAAAGGCAAATACTTCTCACACAATGTCAGTGGGGAAAAACAAGAAGAGTACATGCAGGCGTACCATCACAACAGTGTAAAAACAAGGGTGTGAATGAAGATTGGGATGATAATGCTGGTTGGGTGAAGAGGGCAGGCTCAAGGGAGACATTTTAAAATATATTCTAAAATTGCTGTGATGCAATTATAACATAAAACTATAAAAGCAGAGGTAGGAAGTATATGATGGTAGGAATTGAACCTCTGACCTCAGCCCTTCCCCCTGCGATGAGAGAACCCTCTCTACCTCCACCTAAGCCTCCAGCCACTCAAAACAAATGCACCAACCCAAATGAAGGGCAAAGTCCAGCTGGCTGCCAAATGGGTCCAGGGACCCGAATGCTGCCCTGAGCACTCAGTCTGCTGCCTAGAGACCCTACATTCAGACTCAACTGTGCTCCTGTGTGAAAAAGTGATGTGGTTCCCAGTATGCAGTCCCTCCCAGATGCAGCTTAGGGTCAGCACGGACTCTCCTCCTCCCTTAGAAAAAGGCAGGGCGGCCTATTTCCCAAGAGAACAGGAGTGCCCCTGGTAGCCTCTGCTCCCCTCTCCCAGAAAGTGAAGTCTCTTCTGGGGATCAGGGAGCAAAGAGGGAAAGGAGGGATCCCCAGCAGTTTTATTTCCCCATCCTTCATTATTTTTTCCCAGAGCCACACTCCCTTTGCCCCAGGTGCATTTCAGAAGTGTGTGCCCTGAGATATGATCCATTAACACAGGGTGGCACAAAACAACCAACTGCCTAGAAGCATGCGATCCACAAGGGGGAACGGGGATGTGACACAGAGGTTCAAAATGGGGCTCTCAGAGACAAAGGGATCCTGCTAAGTCAGGAAAGAACAAACCCTGATAATCTTCTCAAAGTTTAAATCCATTAAAATTTCAACAAGGTTTCCCATTTCCTACTCTTTAGGTTCTGGAAAAGGGGTAAGTTGAGGCAATTCTTTTTATATCCTGGCTCTAGGCACATCTTATACGAATATCAGGGCTACCCTACAGCCTTCAGTGTGTTTGACCCATTAAGTCTCATGTTTCTCTATGTCCAATAGCAGAAAGAGTCAAATAATGCAATGTCCTGTGCCTGGGACACTGTACATCCAAGTGGAGGTCACATATGACAGCAGTGTGTCAGGCTGACCACTTTCCCTGGCTTCACAGTAGGGCACCCAGAATACCTGTCCTGGGTAAGATTCCTTGACACTATGTAAGTCACTTGATCCCGGATTTACTCTATAGATCTTCACATCTACTCAAGTAATTTTGTGAAAACTATGTCTCATTTTCATAAAAGAAATATGAGCAGTCACAAGGACAACCTAGAAGAAAGTGCAGAGAAATGGAATCAACCAGAATGAGCTGCTTGAGAGGGATCTTTGAAGCCATTTGGCCTTTGGTCTCCATACCTTAACCTGAGGACTTATGTTTTTTTATAAGGTAAAAATCAGAAGTAGAGATCAAGATGTAACACTGATCTTGTATCACTAGAAGTCTATAGACAATTGTTTTTTAAAAGCTACCATGTACTGAGTATAACAATAAAAGTAAAACTCAAAAGAAAGTGTGAAGCCTTGTATCAAACTGTCACTCAATCTCTTCCTTCCTGTCTTTATCCCTTTGTCGTGCAGTTGCCTTTCTGTTATTTTTCATGATTTATATTCCAGGCAATGGAAAATGCTTTCTCCTCACAAAGAGCCAGGATCCAAGTCTGGCATGGGTAGATTTGGGTACCAGGCCCTGGTAAATACTCTGTGACCCCCGAGAATGGGGGAGGGAAACAGAAGAGGGTGGGAGAGCCACTGGCACACTCCACCCAAAACACAGGGTGCCACAACGAGGAGGCAGGATGTGGCCCAGCTCTGGGGCTCGCAGGACTGTTTGCCCTCTGCAGAGGCTCATTGTAGACATCACTCTGTGCAGAGCGACACTTTCCAAAGCCAGGATGGTGCCCCACCATCTGGGATCCCTAGGCAGCTACTGTCTTCTGATTTGAAATTTCAGCCATCAAGTCCCCTTTTATGGTATAATAGTGACAGGGGGTGGAAAGAGAGAGTGGGTGAAAGGAGGCAGGGTCACACAGGCAGAGGAGCAAACTCACTGGCTAGTGTCACTGTGGCTGGCACGCTGGCCACAGCCCCTGCAGGCATCCGAGCCACACACTGGTACCGTCCCACGGTGCGGTTGTTGAGGGCAGTGATGACGAGGGTCCCTCGGGTGAGGAGGACACCCAGAGCCTCATCTGAGCCATTCAGCTCCTTCCCGTTCAGGCGCCAGGTCACGTTCACCCATGGAGGTTCCACCACACAGCCCAGGATCACGGTTCCTCCGAGCTTCTGGACCGTGGATGCAGGCTGCACGGTGACCTGAGGAACCTCATCTGGGGAAAGAGCAGGGCACAGCAATGAATCAAGGCCCCCTGCAAAACAACAGCATCGCCTTTCTAGAAGCACAGCACCTAAGCAGCTTCCCAGAATTGAGAACCAGGAGGATCGCTCTTTCTCAGAGGAGCCCAAATGCCCTTGCCCATTCCCTAACCTGCCTGTGTTCCCCGAGTGTAGGTTTGGGGCTGTGATAAGGTGCAAAGGCGAGTGCTCAGGCTCTGGAGCTGGACAGGCTTGGGCCGGATACCAGTGTGACTCTTTCTGAGTCATTTGACTCTATCCTTTCTGAGCCTGTTTCTTCTCTACAAAATGAGGCTAATGTTGCTTTGTAAGTATGAGGCTTACAAGGTATATAAATGCCATGATCTCATCTCATAAATGTACACTAAAGGGCAGTTATTTTATTCCTCTCCCTTCTCGGTATATTTTTGAAACAAAATACTAAATTACAACCAATACAAGTTGTCACTATCACTTCCCATTTTGTATTCTTCACATGCCCCTGCAGGCTGGTGGGGTGAAGCGCTCTAGTTTATCCCAAGCTGCTTATTGCTTCGCCTGATGTGAAGGCAGAGATCTTCTGGGAGGGGCTGCCGAGGAGGGAGGGAGCACTCACTCAAGCCGGCCAGGCAGCCTGCTGTGACCAGGAGGAGCCACGGGATTGCGACCTCAGGCCTCTTTGCTCTCAGCATTCTCATCGTCCCACGAAGCACGTGTCACAGAGGGTCCTAAACCCACTCCCATAAGCCACCAGGGTCACTCACAATGACGCCACAGTCTCCTGCAACACAGTTGTGAGACAGAAAAAACAGGATGACCACGGTGAGAATGCATGGAGGCCCCATGACAGCCAAAGGCCCCAGCTTCCTGCCTCCCTCCACCTGCTGACAGTGTTGGGAGTGGAGACCTCACTGCTGGACGACCAAAGCACACCTTCATGACACTTCTCAGCTAGAAGAAGCTCCTCCATCAGACGCCTCCTGAGAGACAAGGTGATTGTGTTATGATAAGGATGCTGCAGCTCTGCTAGGGGACCAGTAGTGGCAAGGTCAGGGCTGTCCAGGACATGAAGACAGCAAGGGGTACAGCCACGCACAGAGCATGAGCAGTGAGAATCTAGTGCCAATGCTGGAACAACCAAATTACCGCTCCACTGCTTTGCCAGAGGCCTGATATCCACAGCCACCACATGGCAAGTTGCGTGCTAGTGTAGACCACTGGAGTATAGCACCGTCTCAGGTGCAATCGTATGTGCATATTAAATACACTTTATGAAGATATTTCTCATTAATGAGTCATAAAGTCTTAATGCTTCATGAAAGATCTGCTTTGATCTTCCTTCCTTCTACTCCTCTAATCCTGAAAAGTCTCTTGTAGTCCTGGAATCAACCTGCCCTCCTCGGCTCTGCAGCTTGCCTGTAGCCTGTAGCCCCAAGCATAAACACAGACAGAAGTCATACGTCAGGACCAATGCTCCTCACCTTCTTGGGGTACAGAGCCTTATTTCAGTCTAACTGTATGGGTTCCACTTCTTTCTATCCCTAATGCTGGAATTCTGGAGGTTTCCATTTCTACAAAGTCTGGGTTCCTGCCAAGTGCCTAGGTTGAATCTCTACTCTACGTTCTCTTGGGGATTGAACCACACTGTACCTCCAGCTGCTTGATGAGAAACACTGCAGCTCTCTGACACCTGTCTAGAGCATTGCACTTGTCTTTAAAAGGTGTCATTCTCTTAGGGGATGGTTCTTGAAAAGTTCATCAAATACACGCAAGCCAGCATACATTCTAACACATACACTCTTCATAGCCAAAACCAAGGTTTTGCTTCCGTGCTTTTTACTGATCTAATTACAGAGTATCAGCAGATGAGGAATGCGGATCATTCCTTATGAGACAGGAGGCATCTGAATGAATGCTGACATTTAAAACAACATTCCAATGCTGGAACATATAAGTATGTGACAATATTAGTAGTGTATTTATAGGAAAGTGACATCAAACAGAATGGTAATTCTTTAAGACCAGTTTACCTAAGCATAGACTCTTTTTGAAGATTTATAGTTACCACTGAAAAACAGAAGAGTTAAGGTTTCCACTGAGCTCACCGGTCTGTGGAATTCCAGGTGCCTGCAATGTGGGAGGGTCTGGGGCCTTTCAATGCTGAATTCTCCTGATACAGGAGACCAAAGGATGGCGCATGCAGCTCCTACACTGTGATTGGAGGTGCCTGGGATTTGTCTAGACTGTTCCCCAAGACCTTTGGCTTTGGCCTGGCTGCTGAGGGAGTGATGGGGCCACCTGTGTTCTGCCCAACAAGCATTCTCAGAGGCTGATTGCTCTTTTTCAGACAATCCAGTAAGTGAAAGGGCCACTTTTCTAGTCACTAGCAAAGTGAAATTCACAAAAGCTGCAAAGAATGTGAGTCTGGCTGGGAAGGGCAGTGCTGGCAGCAGAGGTGACCGTGTCTGCTGCTGCTCCAGGGACCCACTAAGCTCCCTCCAAGTGCCTCCACTTGTCTTCTCAGCTTTGCAACACGGGGACCATTAACCCCATTTTCAGAAGAAGAAACTGACTTCCAGGCGCTTACTATAGTAACTTCCCAGGGCCTCTTAACTGTAGGCCTAGGTGGAAACCCATGTCAGGCTACTTCCAAAACTCTGTGCTTTCAGCTAACGGACGCATCTCATTTTGAATATTGGATTCTGCACACAGTAGGTGTGTAACAGAATTGGAATGACAGTGAGGCAGAATAGTGCTTTCTACAGGCAAGGTTGATACCAAAAAGCAAACTTTGTGTGTCCTCTCAATTTTCCAGATCCTTGTTTTAATTCTCTACTTTTCCAAAATGAGATAATGTATTAATGTGGACTCCCTAACCCCCAGTCATGGGGATTTACGATATTAATTTGCTCATGACACACCCAGGTTTCCCCAGCTCCGTAATGAGACTGATGCCAACTGTTTCCTCCCTGTGCCGCGAAAGGGGCGGGGAGAGGAAGGCAGGGAATGGAGGGAGACGGAGAGAGGAGACAAAATGCGTAAGATTGAATAAAGGGCAAGAAAAGAAATGCAGACCAAGAGGCACTGAGGGTCACTCCTAGAGTGAGCACAGGCTGGCCACAGAGGTGTTGGGGTTGTAAAACCCACAAAGGTTTTACCGAGGAAATTCAGCCCAGACTCCCTCCTGCTTAATGAAAGCAGGCCAAACAATTCCCGTCAGCTCTACACCCCCAGTAATTTACAAGGTTCAAAATGGAAACAGCCCCCACTGCGCTGCCAGTCACCAGCCTACTTTAAAAGCAACAGGGAGACGAATGCATGGTAGTCGCAGGGTGAGAAGAAGCAGGTAGCCTAAGGAGGAGAAAGAGCTCATTCATTCCACAGCAGTGCTGCACGCAGTGCCATTTAAAGGGCTCCAAAGCAGAACCCTGCATCTCACTCACGTAAAAACAGAACCAGGAAAAAAAAAACTGGGCTTGTGTGGGGTCACTAAAGATGCAATATATCTTACTTATCAGCTAGGGAAACAGTTATTTCTTGGAAGAAGTTACCTAGTGAATTTAGTCTACAAAGATGACAGTTCTGAAAATGAAGGTATATGAGAATTTTTACCTTTTTTAAAAAGGAAGTAAGGCTCATGTTGGAGAATGTAATTGTACTATGAGTTTGTCTCACTGTAAGATAAGCAAGGCGCAATTTCAAAGTTCAGCAAAGGCCACAGTCAAGCCTGTTATTTTTCTTGGCAAGGTGAAGTATGTCTGGATCCTGACCTTATTTTTTTTTTTATGAATTTTCTCAGAAAAATGAGAGAAATCTAGAAAAAAAACAAAAGCAGAGAGAAAGGAAAATGAATTTTTGCCCTGAATGCTTGACTGAGATCTAGGTACTTGCCATTTTTAGGGACAATCTGGATACAAAGAAGAAAAGAAAATACATCTGTGAAGTTTCACTGTTGACCTACATAGTCCCTACTGAAATAATTACCTCCCAACAGCCACTTGTAGAACCTTCCAAAAACAACAACAACAAAACACACTTTTGAGGTTGAGACCAAGCATGAAAAATTGTAGCTTTTGAACATTTTTTTTTGAGAAAATTACAAACAACTGAAAGTCGATCATCAGGAGGAGGCCAGCTTCCCCAACTCCCCAGAGGGCTGGCTGACTACATACATGGACGCCGCCACGCAAGGCCACCATCTCATTCTGGGGACAACAGGGCTACTGCGGCCTCAGAAGTTGAAGCCTGTGGAATCTAAACTGCCAATGTTTTGCAACCAGTAACAAAGGAAGCTAAAGAGGAAAGTTTGCTCTAACAGACAGTATAATAGAGACTTTTTAAAAAACGTTCTTGAACAGTAAGAATACCAACTGATTAAAGAAATTGTACAAGGTACATTTCTGCCAAGGTACACTTATTTTATTTTAAAGAGAAAAAGGTAAAATTTCAAAACAACATCGGGGGTAACAATGGTATATACATTGTGCATTGTTACTTTCCAATCAGTTCATCAGTTTTTATATGTTTACAATTTTGTGGGCTAAGATTTCCCTTTCCTGAAGGTCTGAGGCAGGGCAAAGCTTTGATTCTCAAGAAGACGCCAGCTCGCTGGGCATAAGGATCGTCAGTTCCTGCCCTCAAGATAAAGGGTAGAACTTCCACACAGTATGGTGGTCTGGAGAGAGACGCTGGAGGAGAACTGCAGGCTCTGGCAAATGCATATGTGAGTTTCAACAGACTTGGGAGAAGGGCTTAAGAAAGGATATCGGAACATTATGCTGTGTGTCTTTTAAAATATACAGTGAAAAAGTTCATTTTTATTTAAAAAGTTGTACTTTATCCCCAGACCTAATTAAAAGGAAACTTTTTTTGGACCCCCTCCTTTTTTAGATATGCAAAGGAGTAACATTCATCATTGGAATTTGTGCCTGTACATGATACGTTTTGCTTCTGTTTTACCTGTTCCTCTCCCCTCCGTTCAACTCCTCTTCCCCTCCTAATTTATAAAAGCTTTCTTTTTCTTCTATTCTTTTTCCCTCCCCCCTCCTTTTCCCTTTCCTATCTGAACATTTTCTTCTAGTTTCTCACACCACAAAAACAATGCAACATTTAAATATGTGTGTCTAATTTATTTCAGTTAAAGAGTATGCTATCAAAGTGTATCCATTTACCTAGAAATGTCTTGGGTTTATCCTTCTTTATGGCTGACTAGTACTCCACTGCATAAAAATACATCATCTTTATCCATTCATAGTTTGATGGGCATTAATGCTGTTGCCAAAATTTACCTTTACAAACTGTGCTTTTATAAACATGGATGTGCACAAACTGCTATGGTATGATGTTTTTAATTATTTCAGGAAGATACCAAAAGGGGAATAGCTAGGTCAAATGGAACTTCTAGTGTTAGTTCTTTGAGGAATTTCCACACTGATTTCCACAGTGGTTGTACCAGTCTACACTCTCATCAACAGTGGAGAAGGGTTCATCTTCCCCTATAGTCACACCAGTATTGGTTCATTTCTTGATAACAGCCATTCTTTGTAGAGCGAGATGGGATCTCAGCATTGTTTTAATTTGAATCTCTTGAATGACTAGTGATACTGAACATTTTTTTTTGTGTATTTGTTTGCTGTTTCGACTTCCTCATTTGAGAAGTGTCTATTCATTTCAGATGCCCATTCTGGATTGGGTCTTTACATTTGGGGGATCTGATTTTTTTGAGTTCTTCATATATTTTAGATATTAGTCCTTTGACTGAGGAACAGCAAAAAACTTTTC